GAGTTTAATAAAGTTGTGAACAGCCAAATATATTATTTTACAGCAGATAAATGGTTGTAAATCATTCCATGGCAGCACTTGAACAATGTAGTGTCAGAATAAAAAACTAAAACAAAGTAAAAGCAACATGGTAAAATAAAAATAACCTTGTAACATTATTTATAAGACACATTTATTTTGTAAACATTTCACATTAGGTTTTAAAGATTTAGCTACATACACTCATTTTGAGATTTTCAGCATGCTGAATGATGATAATACAGTCAATTAAACACGTAAACAACAGCTATAGAAATTCAGCAATGTAAAGACAAAAGCTACAAATGAACACACAACTTTACTAACAGTTCCTTTGAAGGGGTGGCACAGTGACTGATGGACAAAAGAAAAAATGTAAATGGTTTGACAATCCTCCAAATACCAATTCTTTCACTTAGGGCATAAAAGTCACGAAAAGTTCCATGTTCAGACAATAGAACAATAGAGACCATGTTTAGTTATTTCAATACAATGAAGTGCAAAAGAAAAACTCATTATCACAATTGTTCCTTATAACTTTGTTTTGTTGTAAGTACCTTAAAAAAACTATTTGCTCCTGGTGAATCAAGAAATCAAATTGGCTTTATTTATTGAAAAATGTATTACATTTACACCATTAAAAGTGTTAAAGTTTAAAACATTCTCATTATAAAAAATGAAATGTGTACATGGATTACATGTTTTTTTTTTGTTTTTTTGCATCACATTAAAATGAGACACATTTGTTGATAGAAACATTTGTAAGCTGTACTGGATCTGATAATGGACCGTAAATAATTTGATAATGCTTTGTCTGTATTTTCGATTAAATCTGATAGCTCCCTCATCCTCCATAAACAGCAATGGTCACAAGAATTTCAAGTTACTTAGCTGAGGACTATTTTCAGGTACTGGGTAATATCATTTAGACTTCTGCAGCCATTGTAAGGCAGTATAGTTAATTAATACACCAAAATGAGAGTATAGTTTCTAGTTATTTTGATCTAGAAAGAACTTTTCCATCAATCAAACTTTAAACAGGTAAATTATCCAAACATTTTATTGAAATATTTGAGTGAGAAGCTAATGATCTAATCTGATTCAATGTTTTATGCTAAGCTAAGCTAAAAGTGCACCAGCCAAAGCTGGAGCTCAGCTGAATGGATTCAAAAATGGTAAAAATCAATGGTTTAACTCTAGGAAAGTTGTAAAATTAGCCTATTTCCAAAAAGAGTGTTACATTACAAACAGATGATTTCAGAAAAAGGGTCAGATTAAAAGTTAAAAATAATAAAGTTGAAGTTTTTCAATGCATTTAAGTGTTTTTTTTTTTTTTTTGTTTTTTTTAGCAAAATAAATGTTAAAACCATATGTAAACCTTAATGATCATATCACATTACTTCAAAAAATAAATAAATCCATATCATTAACTCAATAAGATGAGTTTTGCATCAAGTTGACTAAAGAATGGCACTAAATACAGGTGTTAACAGGGTCTAAAATGTTTTAAACTTGTCACTTCCAGAGGTAGGTGAAAAGACATTTTCACATTTACACTCACCGGTCACTTTATTAGGTACACCTGTCCAACTGCTCGTTAACGCAAATTTCTAATCAGCAAATCACTTGGCAGCAACACAATGCATTTAGACATGTAGACATGGTCAAGACAATCTGCTGCAGTTCAAACCGAGCAACAGAATGGGGAAGAAAGGTGATTTAAGTGACTTTGAAAGTCACATGGTTGTTGGTGCCAGAAACGGCTGGTCTGAGTATTTCAGAAACTGCTGAACTACAGGGATTTTCATACACAACCATCTCTAGTGTTTACAGAGAATGGTCTTTAAAAGAAATTCAGTGAGTGGCAGTTCAACCCAAGTTTGACCCAAAACGAAAACTAAAATGTTTAATAATTGTCATTGACTGAAATAAAAATGATTTTTTTTAAAAACTATAACTGAAACTGCATTGTGTAAATACAAAACTAACTGAAACTAACAAAAATTATAGCAAAAACCATATTTGCAAACGTATTTAATATATAATCTTATTGTAAGCCTTAGCCTTTTAGAAGTAAATATAATTCGCGCTGCAGGTGTTTGACCCTTTCGCACCTCAGAGTTTGTAACCTGCTTGCCATTGGCCAGATCGAGCCGGTTCTCCTCCAGTCATCCTCACTGTTGCTCCCGCGACAAAAACAATGAGTGGACATAAAAGCAGCACGGTGACAGCATTAAATACAGACACTTTAAACTATTCATTTAACACATTTGTGCCCAATAATTGATTTTATTCGTGTATCGCAAACACAAATTAATATTTTTAACCGGATCTCTGCACGGGCCTGGTGAACCGATAATACTGCGCAGGGGCGGATTGGCCATCTGGCAATTCTGGCAAATGCAAGGAGGGCCGGACCATTCTTTAAATGTGGGCCTGTCAGCTATTTAAAAAAAATAAAAAATTGTTATATGTATTGTTTTACATGCAGGCAGCTTTTATCTCTTTTGAGATATAAGTATTATGATGATGATGAGGATGATGATGATGATACTAGTAATAATAATAATAAATGTATTGGCCCAATCGACAATGCTCGGCTGGTTTCGAGATGGGCTGATCCAATTAGAGGTTACGCAGGTGTAATCAAAATCTGGCAAGAATGTCAAATAAACAGTTAGTGATACACTAGCTAATTGTCAGAGATGGACCGTAAAAAAGGAAAGATGGTGCTGAAAAGCTCAGAGAAAGCAAAAAAAAAAAGTCTTTAAAATCAGACGCTGCCAAATGCATAAAATTAACTGAAATAGTGTCGAAAGGGCACAGCGCAGGGGCGCAAGAAGGTCGTTTTTTTCGAGCCTCGGCTGAGTTAGTTGGTGTTTCTGTGTGGAGTTTGCATGTTCTCGTGGGTTTCCTCCTGGTTTCCCTGACAAGTCCAAACACATGTGCTATAGGTGAATTGGGTAGGCTTAATTGTCCGTAGTGCATGTAGATGAATGTGTGTGTGTGTGTGTGTGTGTGTGTGTAGGGGTTTCCCAGTGGGTTGCAGCTTGGAGGGCATCTGCTGAGTAAAACATATGCTAGATAAGTTGGCAGTTCATTCCGCTGTGGTGATCCCAGATTAATAAAGGGACTAAGCCGACAAAAAAATGAATGAATGAAATGATTGCATGTATAAATTGAGTTGTTTTTTTTCCAGTCACATACATTAAATGTTTAAATATCTATTAAATATGGTAGTGCTTATATTATTTCACCATCTGTACACCAGTATAAGTAGTAAATGTGCGTGTCTGTGTATGGGGCTGTGTCGGTGTGGTAATGTGGCTACAGTGCCAGGGCTGATTTTTGGTCCCAGTCCGCCACTGATACTGCGCATGCGTGATTCAGTGAGCCAAACACATACAGTACAGCCTGCTGTGTGACTGAACTGAACTAAACTTAAACAACTGCAGCGCGGGTGAACCGAGGGCTTATAAATGAGAGGATCTGGTGAAAATCGCAAGTATATTTCATTACAGACAATCGTAATGGAATTTTAAAAAGTAAATCATGCTTCAGTAGGGTTGCAAAAATTTAATTGTAAGACTTTTCAGATCATGCCATGGTGATGTTTTCACTGACTGAAATTACTATTGCTGACTACATAATGTTGATTCTTAACGCCCCATTCACACGGGGGTTCAGCGTCAATGCTTGACTCAAGGCGTGTCTGAAGTTGGGGCTGAAGCGATCGGCATAGAAGCGTCAGACAATGAAATTCAGTCAGCAATAGGCCACTGTCTAGCTGGTGTATTTGCATACAGCGATCTGATTGGCTGACGCTTCCGTCGGCGCTTGAAATGTTGAGCTAGTCCCAACTTCTGCAGCGAACAACGACTCAGAAGCGGCGCCGATGGATCCACAATGCAGTTCGGCAGCGACTGACGTCACCCATTCAAAGTGAATGGGAAGCGTTGACGCTGACGCCCCGTGTGAATGGGGCGTTACATCCGTGTTAAAAATCTGAACTGTGTGTCTAACCTCAGTAGCAGCCTTGCACACATTGTTCTTAGTGCTGCTATCTTGTGGGCTGTTGTATTTGAATTTGAGGATGGGTAAATGATGATGGTGTTCGTGTTCTCTGAACATGTTTCAATGTATGACAGAGTTTTTTACAATATTTATCCTGTTTATTTTGAATCTTGCACCTAACAAATATCCATATTTAGAAAAAAAAAACAAATACTGAAACTAATAAAAACTAAACTAAAACTGTCATTTCAAAATATAGAAACTAATAAAAAATACTTAATCTGCCCCTAAAACTAATTAAAATTAACTCAATTTGAAAACAAAAGTCAAAACAAAATAGAAACTAAAACGAATGAAAAATCCAAAACTATTATAACCTTGCAACCTTGAGGCAAGATGGGCTTAATCCTTCGTTTATGATTACGTTTTATTCCTATCACAAGTTAAAGTAAATTTTATATAAAATCATAGTGTATACAACAATCTCTGGGCTTGCTGCATAACAAATACCAAAATTTAACAATTTATAAAAAAATTAATCACTTTCTGGTTATCGGATATTAGGCATGGGCATATATACTGCGATTGTTATTTTCGAAAGCATTAAATCGCTTTGTAAACGTTTATTATTACCACTTCATGAGTCTCCCCATTCAGTTGAATAGAGCGCTTGGACCCGGAAGCCGCTTCGCGTGACGTCACACTTAACAAGCAGATGATCACAGCGTACCCATCTGCTGATGGCTACTACCGGCAAGATAACGCGTCATGTCATAAAGTGTGAATCATGTGAATCACTGATATCTTGAACATGACAATGAGTTCACTGTTCTCACATGGCCTCTATTAGAGCACCTTTGAGATGTTGTGGAACAGAAGATTCACATCATGGATGTTCAGCTGACAAATCTGCAGCAACTGCGTGATGCTTACGTCAACATGGACCAAAATCTTTGAGGAATATTTACAGTACCTTGTTGAATCTATGCCACGAAGGAGTAAGGCAGTTCTGAAGGCAAAAGAAGGTCCAACCCGGTACTAGTAAAGTGTACCTAATAAAGTGGCCAGTGAGTGTACATGTGATACTGTAATTGATACTAAACAATGTTGAAAACTACTAGTAGCCAGTGACATAGTATTTGTTTTTCCTACTATGGATGTCAATGACTACCAATTTTCAATGTTCTTCCAAAAAGTGAGCATATTTTCTCTCGTGGGCCAACCGTTTCTTTAACCAGATAGAAACAGGGCCAAAAATACATTTCCCACAAAAACAGAAAACATTTTTTCTTCCTCTCAACTGTATTTAACTGCCCTCATCCCAAAGACACAGCTGTTTCTGAGGGGTGTAGAAGTCAAATCGGTAGCCTTTGCTGCAGCTCTTAATGCCACACTTGTAAGGGTTTGGCCCTTGACTACGGCAGTACTTCAGCTGGCAGGGGAACCACTCCAGGTTTAGGCTGTAGTTGCAGGCACAGGGCTGCCATGGGTCTGATGTGGAGCTGCAGCTTTGTAGGCTTGTCACATTCGCATTCGGAGGAAACTCCTCGAATATTGAGCTTGCAATTCCTGTAAAGAGAAAAAGTATGTGTTTTAAAGTATGTTTTTTAAAAGAAAACATTTTGTTCTTGGCACAACCATCCTCCCTAGCTTGTAGCTAGCATGAATTTGCATGCTGCTGGCATGTTTCTAGCATGATATAGCATGTGGTTATGGGCTGGGCAATTATTCAAAAAGTAATCGAAATCGACAATCAGAAGCTATAATCGATCAAATTTTTCCAAGTCATTTTTTTCAATTACTTTCGCTACTGTTTTTGGAGGCACATGATCCCACTCTGCTAAGGTTGATTTATTCTTATTATATTATTCTGATATTATACCTCTGCCAAGCGCACACATACAGCCCTGCGCAGCCTTTGCATGCCCACATACCTCTCAAAAAAAGTAACTACACGTAGCGCAAGCTTTGTGGTTGGTTGGTTTGGTAATGGTGACGAGGGTGGGCAGTACAGAGAGCAGCGTTTTAGGCAATGAGTGTTAATTTTAATTGTTCAGCATTGATGTTCAGTAAATGATCTAAGATAGTAGATAGCGTGTAATTAGCTCAATATTTTTAAAATCAAGTAATGCACCATACAATCAAAAAATCTCTCACTTGTAATATGTGAGCATACTTACTGTACAACACTTTTCAGGGAACTATGAGGGTAAAAATATAAAAAAAAAAAAAAAAAATGAATAAATAAATCATTCATTAATCGTAATCAAGTTAAAATATTCAATAATCAAGATTTTGATTTTAGGCCAAATCACCCAGCTCTATGTTGTTAGCATGTCCACCCCTACATCACTTTATCTGGAACAGTCTTTAAAGTGTCAGTGTCATGATGAAATGCTATTGTTATGTACTTATAAGAGTTTATATATATATATATATATATATATATATATATATATATATATATATATATATATATATATATATATATATATATATTAATTAAATGGTATATAAAATGTGGCCAATGCTCTTATGACTAGTTTGCTTAGTATGTAGTATCTATGGTTTATGAAATGTAACCCTAGACCAAAAAAGTAATAAGTGCCATTTTTTGAAAATAGATCAGAATCAGAATCTTACACAAGGAATTTGTTTTGGCTACAGAAGCTTCCAGTTTACATAAAGTGACAAGTGACAACACAAAATAAATATGAAATAAAAACAAATATAAACATTAAATGGAGATGCAGTTAGTCAAAAATAAGCTTACCATTGATTTATACTTTGTAAGAACATGACAATATTTAGCAAAGATACAACTATTTGAATATCTGGAATTTGAGGGCTCAAATAAAAGTAAAGAAGAAAAAGAACTTTAAAGTTACGTTACAAAAATTTCATTTTGATATATTTACAACATATCTTCATGGATCATGATTTTAAACCCCCCCAACAACCCTTTATAGCAGGGGTCTCAAACTCGCGGCCCGCGGGCCATTTGCGGCCCTCAGTGCAATATTTTGTGGCCCGCGCCGACCGCTGTACTCTGACAGAATCAGCGGAGCCGGGAGAGAGAGCGCTCCCCGATCTGCTGATTCTATCCGTACACAGCGTGCTTGTCACTCAATGCGCGTTGTCGCGCGTGTTCTGATCAGCTGTGTTATCGCGCACGTACTCAAGAGCGGTGTTATCGCGCGCCTACTGAAGGGCAGGACCGAGGGTGTGTCGCGTCGCGGGGGCACTTTTGATCATTTTGGAAGGGCGCTTTCTATGCAAGACTAAAAAGGGCATGTGCTCTGCACAGGTTGAGCCCTATGTGTGCACGTGCCTGCCCTGCATCTTATATATATTGATATTATAGGTAGATACAGACTGGTACAGACTGATGTGACTGGAGTGAGGTGGGGGTGTTTTATTTATACATATATACGCCTTTGTTTAGGTGAGGGAATGGAAGTTTTGAGTGAGTTCCCCCACTTTTTTCCCTAGGACTTCAATAAGTCAAAGTACAGGTCTAGACTTAATGATGATCATCTTCAAGCCATACTGAGGGTCTCAACTGCTTCCGCTCTAAAGCCAAATGTGGTTCAGATTTGTGAAAAGAAGCGTTGTCAAGTCTCTGGCAGCAAGAAGTAGGCAAAAGATGCCATGTTCAGAAGAACTGTTCATAATCTTCACTCAATGTTCTATTAATGTTCAGGACACTTCATGTTCAGAAGAAATAATTAAAACTGTTAATAATGACATTTGAGGACTTTTTTTTGTGAAATCCCTTATGCGGCCCAGCCTCACCCAGACTTTGCCTCCTTCGGCCCCCAGGTAAATTGAGTTTGAGACTTTATAGTGTAAGCATGTCATGACTAAACTTAGTTTGCCAAATTCTACTGTTATGTCAATATATTTTTAGTAAATAATGTATAAATGTAATGTAAAAAATAATTTCATATAAATTAAATTTTATATCAAAATGTACCCACTGTTCTTTTGACTGATTTGTTTAGCAATGCTATATTGTTGTTTATAAAATGTGACCCTACAACAACAACAACAAAAAAAGTTAGGATAGGGCAATGATCCTAGACCAAAAAAAAAGTTAGGATAGGGCAATATTCTTCTATCTATCTATCTATCTATCTATCTATCTATCTATCTATCTATCTATCTGTCTGTCTGTCTGTCTGTCTGTCTGTCTGTCTGTCTGTCTGTCTGTCTGTCTGTCTGTCTGTCTGTCTGTCTGTCTGTCTGTCTGTCTGTCTGTCTGTCTGTCTGTCTCTGTATCATGCCCATCAAGGCCTTAAACTGTACTTTACAATTCTCTGACCTCTGTCCATCCAATGCAGGACATCCTGTTTTCGTGTGTAGACCAGGTCTCGGGCATCCCTGCAGATGTTACGGATGTGAGCACTGAGCTGCCAGGAGAGACTCATGTTGAGCACTGTGTTCAAAGAGAAACGCTCCACTGCTCGTCTCTCCTCCGCACTGCGCACCACATGAGCGTTTTTCTGTTTAGTTCAAACAAAAACAGAAGAACATTTTAGAATGCAAGGTTAAAGTCCTCATAAAATTAAAATAATGTTGTTTCACATTTCAGGTATGTTAGTCAAAAAGGATATCTATAAGCTTGTATGCTCCGAAACAGTGACAATGTTTGCATTTAGAATATACAAACATCCAAAGCTTGCTGTTTGTCATTTTTGCCAAAATGGACCAAAGATTTTTTTTGCCATCACCTAGTACTTCAGATTCTCATCAAATCTTCTGACCAATCAAACACTCTATAGCAGGCATGTCCAAACTAAGTCCTGGAGGGCCGGTGTCCTGATGAGTTTAGCTTTAAATTGCTTCAATAGACCTGCCAGAAAGTTTCTAGTATGTCTAGTAAGAGCTTGATTTGCTGCTTCAGGTGTGTTTCATTAGGGTGGGAGGTAGAGCTGGGAAATAAGGCAAAAAAAAAAAAAAAATCACAATATTTTTTTTTTCATATTGGTCGATATTGATAATTATCACGATAAATATAAAATCTATATATCTATGAATTTTTTTAGAATTTGTGCAGCTGATTTAACACATTTTGTGAGATGTTTTAGCTGTCTGACAAGTTTTCAACAACCAAAGACATTACAAGTTATTGGATATTATTGTTCAACATCAGAAAAAAATAAAACAAGTTTGGAACAAGTAAAAGGTGAGTAAATGGTCACAGAATTTTCAGTTTTGGATGAACTGTCCTTTTAAATGGTGAGTATGGTGAATTTAGGGCATGCATTACAACATATTTCCGTTATATCCGCAGGTGTTTTAACCAATTTTATCTGACAGAGTGGCATGACTATGCCTATGCAGACTCTCATTTCATAAATTGTGTATCACGGCGAGGTATGTGGAGAGCCTCTCAAGCTTCTGAGCTCTATCATACTTCAGACTGAGTTTATTCTTTCAAGGTAATTTAACAATACTTTAAGTGCTGCGAAAAGCCTTTAAAGACTGTCCAGTTCATGCTGCTCGAACCACGCTTCGTTAATGAGTTAAAATGAAACTGTGAAAATAGTTTAATTGATTGTTTTGGCCCAAAAGCATATAGCAGCTTGTTATAATGCACTTCACCTCAGATGTTATTCATTCTTCTTGTTTATGCTGTAGATAACTAACCAACAAAATATACTTTACAAACAAATTACACATTATACATTACACTTTCAAAGATATATATATATATATATATATATATATATATATATATATATATATATATATATATATATATATATATATACAGTTCGTGGCCATCTTACACAACTGCGGGACTATGATGCTTCGCTCCATTGAAAATAAGGATTTAATTAATGGGCCACTGCTGTTGTAAACGTCTGTCATTATTTTAAAGTTATGTCTCGAGCATCTGATTTCCCCTCAGTGATTATGTACTTTAAATATATGAGGGAGGGACAATAGTGTTATTACAGATTTCAAAGAAAATATTATATTAAAAATGAAAGATAAGCTTGACAACAAAAGATCCTATCATTGTCATAACAAATGCCCTTAAATAATGCAGCTTGTAGTTTACAGCAAGCATCAAGTGTTCATTGAGATGTGTTTGAGATTGTGTCAACTGTCATATCTTTTGTCTGTCTTTTCAGGGTTTTTTTTTTTTTATGTAAGGCACTGCTTTCTAAAATTAGGAAATGAGACTCTGTTGGGTGGTTTCACTGGTTTACCAACACTTGCAATTTAATTTCATCTTCATAGGGGTGGCATTGTTTCAAAGGATGAAACAGGCTTGTGGTGTTGCCGGTATGACACTAGTCGTCTGCGCAGTTTGCAGTGCACGTTGCTCTGTTTTGTGTCGGATTGCAAAAAAAACTATTGGGGCCTAAGTAACCCCAGACTACTGAAGTCTAGTGATGTTTCTTGTCAACAATGTCTGTGACTGACCTTTTTTACCTAATTTTTTTCTTACTCGTTTAAGTGCAACAAACACTGTATGGCTGTAAACTTGTATACTGCGTGCGGCAACGGGACGACAGGCAGCAAAATGCTTGCGCAGCATTACGCATAGTGCGTAAATATTATCGAGCAATTATCGAGCTAAACTCTCCAGGACACTGGCCCTTCAGGACCAAGTTTGAACACCCCTGCTCTATAGTATCTGACATCTCATGCCCCCCTTCTCAATGGTTCTCATTTAATGCGCTTGGCAAAGCTGTAATAAAAACAAAACGCTATTGGCTGTTTTCGTTTTTTATTTATATGGGAGGAGCTACTTTATGTCCTGCCTTGTCTTTATGTTTCAGTTGAGATTATGCCAAACATTGAATTTAAAGTGCATATTTTAAAGCACTTTAATGGGACCTTTAATAGTTTGACATTGACTCGCAAAGCCTTCTGTAGCATTTTGCTGTTTTGTGGAACAGTATTGTGCATGACAACTGTTTATCTAAAAGAAAGATTCAAGGATTTTTCTTAGGATTAGTTTTTCTCAGTGGCTTTGGTGCATTTCTCACAACACTATTTACATTTGCACAATAGTTACTGCATTTCTCAAAACAATTAGTACAAACTGCAAAACCTAGCTGATAACCTGCAAAAGTGTGTCACTTGCTCAAAATAGATAGCTCATTCCTCAAAAGCAAGTATTGATGTCAATGAAAGTGTCAGTGTCATCAAGATGAAGAGTCCTGACACCATTGTTCATGAACAAGATAGTCTAATGTCTTTGTCATGTTTTCAATATGACAGTTTACTCTGTAAGTTTTTTCCACTGCAAAAAAGTCAGATTTTGGTGACACTTGCTGAAAATGCTAAAGACAGCACCATATACAGTGGTGTAGTGCAAAATATGGGGGGCCCCCTGCACGGATTATTGATGGGGCCCCACACATTTGTCAGGTTTTGTGAGTCACAGACCATTTCTGACCTGTCGTAGTCTGGCCATGGCCTCACTGGGAATGAACTCTCCATGATCCAGATGTGAGATGATGCAGAGCGCCTGGTACTGGGACTGACCCTTCTCTGGCTCTCCAAGCACCAGTGCACGAAAGACCTTCACATGCTTTTAGAAGAAAACAACATCAAGAAATAATGCATTCATTCATTCATGTTTTAATAAAATATTAGCAGAATTGTCTGTTTATGGCAACACTTGTACTAAATATTCAATATATAATTTACAACCCCGAATCAGAAAAAGAATACAAAAGAAAGTAGTGATTTCCAAATTTGCTTTGACTTGTATTTCATTGTAGACAATATGAACACAATATACTTCATGTTTTGTCTGGTCAACTTTATTTTATTTGTAACACTTGCAACACAATACAAAATCAGTTGGGGCAGGAGCAATTTAGGGCTGGTAAAGTGGTTAAATAATGATGTGATATGAAACAGGGGATGTCAGCAGGTCATTGTAGGTCAAACACATTAGGAGCAAAGATGGGCTGAGGATCGCCAGTTTGCCAACAAATACTTGAGTATTGAAATTTTTGAAAAATGTAGTTTTCCTCTGTCTCTTTAGTGCATTTCTCACAACACCATTTACATTTGCACAACAGTTAATGCATTTCTCAAAACAATAAGTCATTTGCACATCATAGTAGCAGTTTCTCATTCCTTCCAACAAATTGAAAATGCTTTTGGACATGCATCAACTGCTTTCATACAACTATCTGCTGTTTACAGCATTATCATTTGGTTATTTCATGTCAGTCAAAATTAACTAAACTTGTGAATGCGGAATAGTCATTCCATATAAAACAAATAGTCTGTATTTCATTATTTCATATTAGGTCACTACATACAAAAAATGTTGGAACTAGTTGTCAAAATCCGTCAAGCTAATTTTATAAAAAATATATATTTTTTTTTTCCTGAAAAAGTGTTCTAAATTGATCGATTTTACAGCAAAAAAATGCTTTTCTTGCTTAGATTTTTTGTCTTGTTTCTAGTCCAAATATCTAAAAAATTCCTAAATCAAGAAGAATTTTCTAAACAAGTAAAACATATTGCCTTGTTTTGAGAAATAATATGCCATTATTAAGTGAGTTTTTCCTTAAAACAAGCAAAATAATCTGCCAATGGGGTAAGCAAAATAATCTAACGTCAAAAGAAAAAACTAGATTAATTTGCTTACCCCATTGGCAGATTATTTTGCTTGTTTTAAGGAAAAACTCATTTAATATTGGCATTTTATTTCTGAAAACAATACAATATGTTTTGCTTGCCTAGAAAATGCTTCTTGATATAAGAATTTTTAGATATTTAGACTAGAAACAAGACAAAAAATCTAAGCAAGAAAAGCATTTTTTGCAGTGTTCATGAATGATTTACAGATTACAGTATGTTGTAGGTTCAGTTCCAACATGTACTGTAATACTGTTTTCCAGTTGTGCACAGCTCTACCCAAACGAAGTTTATGTTTGTTGTTATTAAGAGTGTATTCATTCTTTTGCACAATGCTGTGAATAAATCAGAATTGTAAAGAGCATATTGCAGTAATAATGTGAACCATACATATTCAGTTTTTTGAACTCAGATTCCTCACTAAACGCAGGGATGTCTAACTTTATTGTAGTTTTCAAATGGCTGTGCAAAATAGTATAAAGCGCTGTCCTGAAGATTTTCAGGAAGTGTCACCAAAATCTGACTTTTTGCATTGGTAAAAATGTCCAGAATAAACTATCATAATGACAACAGGACAAAGCCATTTGACCAGGGGTGTCCAAACTCAGTCCTGGAGGGCCGGTGTCCTGCAGGACAAACTCCAACTTGCCTCAACACACCTGCAAGGATGTTTATAGAAAGCCTAGTAAGAGCTTGATTAGCTAGCCCTGGTGTGTCAGATTGGGGTTGGAGCTAAAATCTGCAGGATACCGGCCCTCCAGGCCTGAGTTTGGACACCCCTTCATTTGACTATCTTGTTCATAAACAATGGTGTCAGGACTCTTCATCTTGATGACACTGACACTTTCATTGACATGAATACTTGCTTTTGAAGAATGAGCTATCTATTTTGAGCAAGTGACACACTTTTGCAGGTTATCAGCTAGATTTTGCAGTTTGTTCTAATTGTTTTAAGAAATGCATTTATTGTTATGCTGAAAAGTACATATACATTTTGGAAGACAATATGCTGCCTTCTTTTCCAGACAATGCAAAACCACATTCTGCGGACATTACAAGTCTTGGCTGTGGAGGAAGAGGATGCAGATACTTGACTAGCCTGCCTGCAATCCCAACCTATCTCCAACTGATAATGTGTGGCACATTTTCAAGCGCAAAATGCAACAACAAAGACCCTGCACTGTTTCCCACCTTAAGACTTGTTTGCAGGAAGATTGGGACAAAATTCCACCTAAAACATTTCATCACTTGGTGCCTTCAGTCCCTAAATGTGTTTTACGTGTTGTGAAAAGAAAAAATAACATTACAAAGTTATAAATGCTTTACTGTTACAACTTTATTTATTTTATCGTTTATTATATTGTTTGCAATAAAATAAAAGTCAAAGTAAATTTAGAAATCAATGCTTTCTTTATTTGCGTTTCTATACAGTTTTTTTTACACATTCATAACTGTTTTTTAATCAATTATCATATTAAAATGACAAATAACAACAACACTGGTAAAATTACATTATTACAAAATTACATTTTAAGAATATGCTTTGAAATAATAAATATTTAAGCAGTTTTATTTAGTACAGAAAATATTTTTAAAATGCATTGTTCTGCCACAATCTCCATAAAAAATTGTGCAAATTCGCAAATAAACAGCTCTAGTAACAGACCGCTAAATAATTGTAGTTTGAGAGGAAAGGAATTCATATTTATTTGATTTACTTCACATTAAATTTTTTTGTCCCTATTATGTTTATCCTCATCAAACTTTAGTTAATGTTTAATAAAATATAGCAAACAAAACAAATATGTAATCATATTTTTGAAGGTAGTTCGAATGCTAGAGGGCTGTATAACAAGAATAAAAAAGACTTAATAGATTGAGAGAGGTATGCAAACATAAAAAAGCTACACAAACATTAAAAAGTTTTTATTTTATGAAGCTAAAGCATAACCTGTTAATACGGCCTTTAGCACCAGCTGATCCACTAACTTACCCTGAGCAAAGCAGACCAACAGCTCCTATATGCACATCACCAAGAATACAGCCTTCTTTCATGACAATTCGGCTGCTTTTCTTTGCTTCTGTACAAGTTGTAACTGAACTACAGCATTCACAGTTATTCTGAATGAAACGCATTTGTTTGTGTTTACCGCCATAACAGCTTATATGGGTAAAGTCTGTGTAGGAAACAGCTGTGAATACACACATCAATATAGCATCATTTTTGTCACACTGTATAACAATAATTAATATTTTACAGTACTGTGATGATTAGGTTTAGGGTTGGGGATACGCGTAATAAAATACAATTTATTGGGAAATTTAATATACAACAAATAATACTCAGCACAACTACTGTTTTTACTTTACTGTGAAAGTTGGGTTTAGTGTTGGAGTAGACTTAATAGAATACAATTAATGGGAAAATTTAATAAATACCAATAATTCTTGTTAGAATCCCACCAAACTAAGAAGTGCTATTAAGACATAAATGTTTTTTTTTTATTTATTTAAAGTTGAAAATCTCACAGTATATGTTTTTTTAAATACATGACTATTAAAGGGATAGTTCACCCAAAATTTAAAATTATGTCACTATTTACTTAATCTATGCTTGTCACAAACTTGTTTGAGTTTTTTTTTTCCTGATAATTACAAAGGAAGACATTCTGAAAAATGTTGGATACCTGTAATTATTGGCTACCATATTTTTCCCCACTAAGAAAGTCAATTAGTTACAAGGTTCTAACATTATTAAAATATCTTCTTTTGTGATCAACAAAATAAAGAAACTCATAAAAGTTTAAAACAACTTGATGCGTAAATGTGAGTAAATAAGAGTTAAAAATATGTTTTTATAAACAAATTAATTTTAGTAATGTTCAACTTCATTTGTTTGTTTGGACATTGTTTAAAGTCAGCCCATATAAACTGTTTGCAATCACTTACCTAAATATTTAGAAAATCCAATGAATATTTTTTTTTAGTTCAAGGTTTCTTGAATTAATTGATTTCAAGATTCTATAGACTAACATATACAAATACCTCGCATGTCCAAAAAAACATACAGGCTTTTTTCTGCACTACTGACTGCTGGCTTGATGTAAGTTATACAGATAGACTGGGATTTAAAAAATGACTGCATGTTTTAGTCTTTGTTATTTCGTTAGCAGCTGCGATGTTGAATTATACATCAGGACTGATACTCACGCGCTTGAAATCAGCAAGGAACGTGATGAGAGTACCGTCTGTCTGCTTGAATTCCAGCGTTATAATGTCCTTCACACTGTCCGCCTCTAAAATCTCCTCCGCTATTTGACTATCGCCGAGACGAACAAGCACCGTCAACCGTGAGCAAACACTTACCGATAAAAGCAGTGTAAACACTGTAAACGCAATCTGCACTGAAGCCGGCGAAGCCACTCTTGCGTTCATTACAAAGGTCACCGAAGATGTAAACTCATTTAACGCAACAATGGGACATATCGTCACAGTACATGACTTTAAACGGATTTCAAAAGTGCGGACGACGAAAGCAAACTTACTGTTTACACTAACGTTAGAGAGTTAACTTTGACGTCTGTTTATAAACACTGCTAGTTTAGTTTAGCTCGATGATGATGTTGACACCGCATTTGCTTCTTTCAAAAATTATATTTTCATCTTGTTAGTAAAATACTGGCTTAATTTGTACGCCGAAAGTTTTAGAAAGTGCCAGAAATGCGTATCTTTTTTAAATGTTCGTTTAAATACTAACTCTAAAAGCTCCCGTATTTCCCGTCACTTCCTCTGAACTTCAGTAATTTTGGCTAAAGGCGCCTTGGGCTCCCAGCACTGCGTGGGGCCACTTCTTAAAGACACAGGCTCAGATTCAGTGGCGCCCCCAGAACATTTTCTTAGGGGTGGCCAGAAGAGGCCGCACCAAATCTTGGGGTGGCACACAAAAAAATTATGAATTCAGTGTAATGTTATATTTTTGTTTCTGGTAAATGAAATAATGTAGTTTTTATTCATTTAATTAATTCTTTGTGAAATATTGCTATTTATTCCTTAAAATAATTCAACAAGTACATGTGCAAACCAAATAAAAATCTATGTTTAGTTTAAAAACACTTTTCATATACTGTATAAATAACTTCTTTTTTTACGTGCCTTTATTGTACAGCATACGGTATATGCTATGTTTAAAATTAATGAAGATTAATGAGTTTATTATTCCCAGTGATGGGTTGCAGCTGGAAGGGCATCCGCTGTGTAAAAATGTGCTGGATAAGTTGGCGGTTCATTCTGCTGTGGTGACCCTGGATTAATAAAGGGACTAAGCCAAAAAGAAAATGAATGAAAGAATAATGAGTTTATTAATAACCCAAACAAATGAACAAACTGAATGAAAGGCATTACTATATACACACTCACTATACCTAATAATATTATTTATCCATATTGCTTTTTGAGCTATTTAATGCAGCTTCTTCTATTGATATACTGTAGCTTAAGGTAAATATTAAATAGCCATTGCTGTCTATTGAAGGTGTGTGCGTGTTGTCAACGACGATCAGGGAGGGTAGTGGTGGTTCTAGTTTAAATGAAACCCTGGCCGAACCACCCTATACACCCCCCACCTCTTTTGAATTGTTAGATTTGTTATTCAATAAATATAACAATTTATTTATATTTATTCTAAATAAATACAATTAATATTATTATACAATTATTATTGTAAATAAATAACAGAAATCAATCCTAAATATTACTGGAAAACAACAACTGGAGTGATATGCCATGATCACTTAAGAAACCTTTTGCATGAAAATGAATTATGACAATTCTAAAGAATACAAAAAATTTATTATAGAATTATCTGTGGTCTTAGACCAGATCATGGCTGAGAAATCATGTTATGAAGTCTTACCTCCCTGACTCATTTTCCCTCCTTTCTGCTTTAAAGGCATGCTTAGTGAAAGTAACATCATCGTCATCATCATATTATATAAACTTTAGTCGACTTTCAAAACTCGCTGCGTACCGACACCTCTGCACAAAAGGCTGTTGCTTCAGTTTCACGGCGCATGAGCGGTGCCTATTTTGTCGGCGTGCATGCAAGCAACCAACCGGGATTCACACAGGAGTGCGTGAGGCGCGCGGGAATGTTTTTCTGCGCGCATGCGTCAGTTTGCTTTCACCAGCATTGAAAGAGAGGGGGAGAGCTACGTCAGTAACACCAGCAACAATTTAGTGATTGCATTTTAATTATTTATTTATTTAAATATTGGAAATTTATAAGTTCATTTAAATCAATAATGTCAACAGCAAAATTACATTGGGGTGGCCAAAGGGGTGGCCACAGGGGTGGCCAGAGTTTACCGAGGGGTGGCCGTGGCCACCCCTGGCCACCCCTTGGGGGCGCCCCTGCTCAGATTTCGAGACAAAAACTCTTCGATTTCTTAATGGAATGAGGATTATTTTTGTTACAATAAATTAGTAAAGTAGCTATTTATCTTGTCTAGAGCAGTAATAAAATATTAATTAGGTTATTACTTTTGTTATTACTTATTTAGGCTTATCGTTTATCCGGTAACACTTTACAATAACAGTACATGAATAATGATGTATCAATATGCAAACTAAATATTACTTATTATGAATTAATGATGAGTTAAGGTATGCACTAACATGCTTCACATAAGTTCATGTGTGAATAATGACTACCTTAATTACTTGTTAGTAGTATGTTGTTAATTAATTTATTAATTAACATTTGAGTTTAAGCTAAATGTCATGACTTTACTTGGAGGGGCACATAACTATTAACTCATCCTTAACTACTGATGAACTCCTGTTCATGTTGATGTTGACAGAACACTTTTCTATTGTTATTCAGTGTAAACTCACTGCATAAGGAGTTCATGAGTAGTTAAGAATGGGTTAATGATGATGTGCCCCTCCAAGTAAAGTCATAGCATAATTATAAATTAACATATCATGAGTTCATCATGGTTAAATTAAACATAAACGAATGTGGTAATTAATACATTAATTAACAAATAATCATGTACTTACAAGTAATTAAGGTAGCCGTCGTTCACACATAAAGTCATGTGAATCATGTTGAAGTTAAAGTTAATTCAGAATTAGTGCTTACCTTAACTCATCATTAATTCAAAATAAACTAATGTTTAGTTTACATATTGATACATCATTATTCATACTGTAAAGTTTTACCGTTTGTCATTTTAACTGTAAATACAATAAAGGTATAGCTCACCCAAAAACTATTATAGATTTTTTATTTACAGTCAAGCAGTTTCAAATATTCATGGGTTAGATTTATATTTATCAGAAAGCTGAAAACCCATTGTCACACATAGTAGGCTAGATAAAACCAATACTATGAAAGTCAATGGTTACAGGTTTTCACCTTTTTTCATATAACCTTATTTTGTGCTTAACAACTGGTTTAGAGCAAGTGAAAGGTAAATAAATTTAATAAAATGTATTCCTTTAATTTGCTTTATATTATAGACATAAACATGTCAAATTTCCATCCACACAGACCCATTGTGTGTGATAAAAGGTTTAATATGTATTTTAATGTGCTCTTCCACACATACTATTTTACATAGACATACGCTTACATGTTTGAATAAAATTTAATTGCTTTTTTTTTTTGTAAATTTTTTCATTTTTTTCCCCATTTCATTATTTTTTTAAATCTGTAAACCAGTGATGACATTTCTTCCAAATGAAATAAAATAGTTAAGGCAGAGCATTTATTTTCATAGAAAAAGTGCCATAGTTTTAAACTTGTTTATGTTCATTAGAAAAAACAGTTTGCTGTTTTGCAAATTCAAGAGAGTTTCAACATTTGTTATTCTGACCATAAGCTCTAAATGGCAATATTTCAAATTATGGAAGAAATGTAATTGGACAGGGGGCAACGCAGTGGCGCAGTAGGTACTGCTGTCGCCTCACAGCAAGAAGGTCGCTGGTTCGAGCCTCAGCTGGGTCAGTTGGCGTTTCTGTATTGAGTTCGCATGTTCTCCCTGCATTTGCATGGGTTTCCTACAGGTGCTCCATGTTCTCCCACAGTCCAATGCGCAGGGGCGCCTCCAAGGGGTGGCCAGGGGTGGCCACGGCCACCCCTCGGTAAACTCTGGCCACCCCTGTGGCCACCCCAATATAATTTTGCAGTTGACATTATTGATTTAAATGAACTCATAAATTCCCAATATTTAGATAAATAAATAAATAAAATGCAGTCACTAAATTATTGTTGGTGTTACTGACGTAGCTCTCCCCCTCTGGTTCAATGCTGGTGAAAGCAAACTGACGCATGCGCGCGGAAAACCATTCCCGCGCGCCTCAGGCATGCACTAAATTCCAGGGGTTTCATTACCACGACGTAAAATGGGCGTGGCTCGGTCGGTGTTTGGGAAACGCCCCCTTAAAAAAAAAAACAATACTGAGAGGTCACCGATCATGCGCAGTACAGGTTCTTTTTTAGCGCGGTCATTTCAAACAGGATGATTATGGATAAAGAACCTACCGCGGTGGATAACGAGGGAAAAAAACAATCATACAGGTTATTTTTTTGTTTTTATAATCTTATATTTTAAAGATTTCATTAGCAAAACCGGCTGACCTCGTTTTACTCCGTTTTTCTGTCTCTGGGCTTTTGTACTTCCATTTTAAACCAAATAATAATGGTTGTGGTAAGATTAACCGTGTTTTTGTAGTTTAAAATATGGTATTCAGTCATGTTTAAACAAATAAATACCACATTTTCTGTAATAAATCGTGGTTATTTTTTCTTACTCGATCTTAGTTAATTAACATAACTCATATTTATTTTCTATTTTTATTTAAAGTCATCATACACAAAACCCCTGGGATCAGGACAGGTATCTGATGTTAACTAATATAAAAGTGATCATACATAAAACCCCTGAGATCAGGACAGGTATCTGATGTTAATATATATATAAAAGTGATCATACATGAAACACCTGGGATCAGGACAGGTATCTGATGTTACTGTATATAATATAAAAGTGATCATGCATGAAACCCCTGAGATCAGGACAGGTATCTGATGTTACTGTATATAATATAAAAGTGATCATACATGAAACCCCTGGGATCAGGACAGGTATCTGATGTTAACTAATATAAAAGTGATCATACATGAAACCCCTGAGATCAGGACAGGTATCTGATGTTACTGTATATAATATAAAAGTGATCATACATGAAACCCCTGGGATCAGGACAGGTATCTGATGTTAACTAATATAAAAGTGATCATACATGAAACCCCTGAGATCAGGACAGGTATCTGATGTTACTGTATATAATATAAAAGTGATCATACATGAAACCCCTGGGATCAGGACAGGTATCTGATGTTAACTAATATAAAAGTGATCATACATGAAACACCTGGGATCAGGACAGGTATCTGATGTTACTGTATATAATATAAAAGTGATCATGCATGAAACCCCTGAGATCAGGACAGGTATCTGATGTTACTGTATATAATATAAAAGTGATCATACATGAAACACCTGGGATCAGGACAGGTATCTGATGTTAATGTATATAAAAGTGATCATACATGAATCCCCTGGGATCAGGACAGGTATCTGATGTTAATGTATATAAAAGTGATCATACATGAATCCTCTGGGATCAGGACAGGTATCTGATGTTAACTAATATAAAAGTGATCATACATGAAACCCCTGAGATCAGGACAGGTATCTGATGTTACTGTATATAATATAAAAGTAATCATACATGAAACCCCTGAGATCAGGACAGGTATCTGATGTTACTGTATATAATATAAAAGTAATCATACATGAAACCCCTGAGATCAGGACAGGTATCTGATGTTACTGTATATAATATAAAAGTGATCATACATGAAACACCTGGGATCAGGACAGGTATCTGATGTTAACTAATATAAAAGTGATCATACATGAAACCCCTGGCATCAGGACAGGTATCTGATGCTACTGTATATGATATATAAAGTATTTGACACAAAAGCCGTGGGATCGGGACAGGTATCTTAAGTTATAACAGTATTAATGTAATCTGAGAGGTATCTTAAGTTAATTTGTTTAAAATAGCATACACGTACTTCACATGAAACCCCTGCAAATACGTACAGGTATCTGAATCAAACGGCTGTTTTCACAATCTGCGCATGATCCGTGACCTATGCAAATTCACAGATAGGCCACGCCCACCCGATGACGTAGTAGCGGTTACGCTGTACTGAAACCCCTGGAAAAAAGTGCCTGCCGCGCGCCTCACGCACTCCTGTGTGAATCCCGGTTGGTTGTTTGCATGCACGCCGACATAATAGGCACCGCTCATGCGCCGTGAAACCGGAGTAACAGCCTTTTGTGCAGAGGTGTCGGCACGCAGCGAGTTTGAAAGTCGTTTAAAGTTTATATAATATGATGATGATGATGATGATGATGATGTTACTTTCACTAAGCATGCCTTTAAAGCAGAAAGGAGGGATAATGAGTCAGGGAGGTAAGACTTCATAACATGATTTCTCAGCCATGATCTGGTCTAAGATCACAGAAAATTCTATAATACATTTTTTGTATTCTTTAGAATTGTCATAATTAATTTTCATGCAAAAGGTTTCTTAAGTGATGTTGGCATATCAGTCCAGTTGTTGTTTTCCAGTAATATTTAGGACTGATTTCTGTTATTTATTTAGAATAATAATTGTATATTAATATTAATTGTATTTATTTAGAATAAATATAAATAAATTGTTATATTTATTGAATAACAAATCTAACAATTTAAGAGAGGTGGGGGTGTATAGGGTGGTTCGCCCAGGGTGTCATTTAAACTAGAACCACCACTACCCTCCCCGATCGTCCTTGACAGCACGCACACACCTTCAATAGACAGCAATGGCTATTTAATATTTACCTTAAGCTACAGTATATCAATAGAAGAAGCTGCATTAATAAAATGGTTCAAAAAGCAATATGGATAAATGATATTATTAGTTATAGTGAGTGTGTATAGTAATGCCTTTTGTTCAGTTTGTTCATTTGTTTGGGTAATTAATAAACTCATTATTCTTTCATTCATTTTCTTTTCGGCTTAGTCCCTTTATTAATCCGGGGTCACCACAGCAGAATGAACCGCCAACTTATCTAGCACATTTTTACACAGCGGATGCCCTTCCAGCTGCAACCCATCACTGGGAATAATAAACTCATTAATCTTCATTAATTTTAGACATGGCATATCTCATATGATGTACAATAAAGGCACGTAAAAAAAGAAGTTAATTATACAGTATATGAAAAGTGTTTTTAAAATAAACATAGATTTTTATTTGGTTTGCACATGTACTTGCTGGATTATTTCAAAGAATAAATTGCAATATTTCAAGTAGAATTAATTAAATGAATAAAAACTACATTATTTCATTTACCAGAAACAAAAATATAACATTACACTGAATTCATTATTTTTTTTGTGTGCCACCCCAAGATTTGGTGCGGCCTCTTCTGGCCACCCCTAAGAAAATTTTCTGGGGGCGCCACTGCCAATGCGTTACCCCGGATTAATAAAGGGACTAAGCCGAAAAGAAAATGAATGAATGAATGTTATTGGACATTCATTGAATAAAATTGTTCAATCAAACCCTTAATGAATACTGCCAATTAGAGATTATTCATTCCATAAGAGTCCAATTGTACATTCATCAGATACTTTTGGAGTTAGGATGAATGAAGCAATTTATTAAAAAGCCAAAGATTGTCATAATACACTAGACAAGCAGAGGAAACAATATGATGTGTTTTTGATTTTTACAGCTTTTCTAAAAATCTTAGTTCTATTTTTTTTTTGTGGTTATAAAATGTTTGATGTCTTATATGTGTTAATGTATTATTGTGTTTGTTAAAAAGCAACAATATTATAAAATGTTAAATTTGTAATCAAATAAATGCAGTAAATGCAAATTTTATATTCCACTTTTCCACTTTATCAGAGATTATAAACAGCGTTGACAACTTACCATTTATAGTATGACAACATTCCCCACTATATAAATATGATAATGTGTTAAAAAAAGCTTTTTAAAATAATGTTATTTTGCAAATTGCATAGAAAAAAAAGGCAGATGCATGACGAAAAACATTTTGGCATTTTTTAAAATTATTTTTTCGTTGTCTTTGATTGATGTTTGCATTAGACATTTCACATATGAATCTAGGTTTTAAAATCTATTATCTTATGATGTTGGTGGTCAGTAACAGAAACATTCAAGTATAAAGCCATACTGCCGTGAATGACTGTAGCCGTGTAGTAACTGTCACATCCAGATGCATTAAGGAATGAACTGTCACACACACACACACACACACACACACACACACACACACACACACACACACACACACACACACACACACACACACACACACACACACACACACACACTTGTGTCTCTAAACAGGTTTCTCAGATATAAATCACCTTTATTCAAACATACCTCACCACCATCTGTCTATTTTTATTAATCTAAACTTCATTTTTAAGATCCAGACACTAATATGTGTAAAATGTGCAATTCTAACAATTCCATCAGAAGAAAAACACCACCCATTTTCAAATTTTAAGGTCAGTCTATATTTTATTAATTTTTTTGTTCATTTATACTGTTTTCTGTTTGAACATTGGGTTGCATGTTTTCCTGAGTTACAGTATCTCTAAGTACATTTTATTAATAACTTCTTTGGTGAAATCAATTATTGCAAAACTCACTCTGTCAAATCAACACGTGCCAAATCAGTTTCTGTCATGTATCATTATTTAATCAAGCATTTTCTAGTTCTAAGAGCTGTTTATTTTATTTTAGCCTATGACAATAGAATGATGTTTGAGGGCCAAGCACTTCATACAATTGTGCAAACATATCTGTGAAGAATAATTAGAGCAGCAGCAAAAATCAACAGAGTCAGCAATTTTGAAGCTCTTCTTACTATCAATGACCACATTTCTGGACATTCGGGATATCTCGGGTACACAGAAGTGATCAAACCCTCTCCTTCAGAAATAGGGTGCCTTTGAGAGTCGAAACAGTTTAAAACCATAGTTTCAGGAAACCAGGAGCTGGATCAGGCTGAGAGGAGAACATTACAAGGGGTCAAAAAGTATTTTTTTCTTGTGTGTCTGCCTTTTTTATTGATCAAGTGATAGAGGTTGATATGACATTTAGAATGTAAGCAGAACTAAAAAATGGTTTTTAGAACAAGTAACAATCCCGTTAATGTAAAAGTACATGTCGAAGGTCAGTGAATTTAAGCTAATTATTTATTAAAAAAGGACAAGCCATTCTCGTACGTGACTTTGTTCTAGTTGTGATTGAAATGTAGGCAATAGCGATGTTTCCATCCAAAAATATTAACTAAATTTATTTGCAAAACTGGATTAACGGAGAAAAGACGTGCGAAAAAGCAGCGTTTCCATCCAACAAGTCAAAGAGAACAAAATTATCACTTCTGGTTAAGAATCAAATATCAACAGTAAAAACAGAATTTACTGCGGTAGAAGGAGCTGCTTCTATCTTTTCTTTATTCAATAATTCAATTCAATTCAATTCAGCTTTATTTGTATAGCGCTTTTACAATGTAGATTGTGTCAAAGCAGCTTCACATAAATGGTCATAGTAATTGGAACAGTGTGGTTCAGGTTTTAGTGTTTAAGTTCAGTTCAGTTCAGTTTAGCTCTGTTCAGTGTGATTTAATCATTACTGAGAGTTCAAACACTGAAGAGCAAATTCAACGATGCGTAGCTCTACCAATCCTGAACCATGCGAGGCAGTGGCGACAGCGGAGAGGGAAAAAAAACTTCACCTGATGGGAGTGAAGAAAAAAAACCTTGAGAGAACCAGACTCAGTTGGGCACGACCATTTTAATTTCTCCGCTGGCCAAAAGTCTTGTGCAAAACTTCATTCGCCGTGGTTTATGCTGGAAGATGGCCTCAATGAAGACTCGTCTGTCCCTGGAGCGTCGCTGGAATCAGACTCATGTTCTCCACTCCCCACGACCATCAGCGCAGCAGCAGCTCAGGATATGGCCTGGTCCCGGATATGGAATCCTTGGGATCATCACGTCGCTGGTCTTGGATCCAATCAGTGACTCCGCCTAATCTGAGGACCTCGGGATGAGTATCCCCAGGTGAAAATAGAGAATAAAGAGAATAATTAGCGTAGCTGCTGTTCATAGTGTATATAAGCAAGATGTAGAAGCCAGTGTGGAACCTGCTAGGTGATGCACTGAGTGTATGCTTTACTAAACAGATAGGTCTTTAATCTAGTTTTGAACTGGGAGAGTGTGTCTGAGCCTCGGACATTACCAGGAAGGCTATTCCAGAGTGTAGGAGCCATGAAAGAGAAGGCTCGACCTCCTTTACTTGATTTTGCTATTCTAGGTACTACCAGAAGCCCTGAATTTTGAGATCTTAAGGAGCGAGTTGGTTCGTAGCGAGACAGAAGGTTGGTTAGATAAACAGGAGCTAGATTATTTAGAGCTTTATAGGTGAGAAGTAATATTTTAAATTCAATACGAAATTTAACAGGCAGCCAGTGTAAGGAGGATAAAATTGGGGTTATATGATCATATTTTCTAGACCTGGTCAGAACTCTGGCTGCTGCATTTTGCACTAATTGAAGTTTGTTAATAGAGGATGCTGGGCAGCCAGCAAATAGAGCATTACAGTAATCCAGTCTCGAAGTCATAAAAGCATGGACTAGCTTTTCTGCATCTGAGATGGATAGCATATTTCGTAATTTAGCGATATTTCTCAGATGAAAGAAGGCAGTTTTTGTGACATGGGATATATGGTTTTTAAAAGTTAGATTGCTGTCTAATATGACACCCAGATCTTTTATAGTAGAGCTAAAGCTAACTTTGTATCCTTCTAATTGTAAATTGAGTAGCGAGATCTGCTGTGTGCAAGATTTAGGCCCAATAAGTAATAATTCTGTTTTGTCTGAGTTTAAGAGAAGAAAATTGTTGGTCATCCAGTCTTTGATGTCTTTGATACACTCAGTTAGTTTAGAAAGTTCAGACGTCTCGTCAGGTTTAGTGGAAATATATAATTGAGTATCATCTGCATAGCAGTGAAAGCTGATCCCATGTCTTCTAATAATGTCTCCCATAGGTAGCATGTAAATTGTAAACAGTAAAGGGCCTAAAACTGATCCTTGAGGCACCCCATACTTTACTGGGCAGATTTGTGAAGGCTGTCCATTAAGATTTACAAACTGGTAGCGGTCAGTTAAGTATGACTTAAACCATTGTAGAGCCTGTCCCTGGACACCTGTAGACTTTAAGCGATTTATGAGGATATTGTGGTCAATGGTATCAAATGCCGCACTAAGATCGAGTAAAACTAATAGCGAGACGCACCCTCGGTCAGCAGCTAAGAGTAAATCGTTGGTTATTTTCACTAAGGCGGTTTCTGTACTGTGGTGAGCCCTGAAACCTGACTGAAACACTTCAAAAATATTGTTCGTCTGCAGAAAAGAGCATAATTGAGTGGAAACAACTTTTTCTAGTATTTTAGACATAAATGGAAGATTTGAAATAGGCCTATAGTTAGCTAAGTTGTTGGTGTCTAGTTGCGGTTTCTTAATAATAGGCTTAATAACAGCTAGCTTGTAAGAGTTTGGAACATGGCCTATAGATAAAGAAGAGTTGATAATGTTAAGAAGAGGTTCTCCTATAGCAGGTAGCAGCTCTTTCAGTAATTTTGTTGGAATTGAGTCCAGCATACACGTAGCTGGTTTAGAGCTATTTATAATTTTCACTAACTCTTCATGTTCTATGATTTTGAAGCAGTGTAGGTTATTATTATGATTTAATGAAATATTTACAGGATTTGGAGTATAAGCCGGTGCAGAAAGTTTGGCATCTCCTATTTTCTGTCTAAAGCCTTCTATTTTATTACTGAAAAAATTCATGAAGTCATCACTACTAATATGCGGTGGAGTAGTTTGTTCCAAGGATGACCGATTATTTGCTAATTTAGAGATGGTGTTAAATAAAAATCTAGGATTGTTATGATTATTTTCTATCAGTTTGCGCAGGTGCTCGGTCCTGGCAGATTTTAGAGCCCTCCTATAGCTGGACATACTGTCTTTGTACGCAATTCTAAAGACCTCTAAATTAGTTTTTTTCCATTTACGTTCCAGGGCGCGGGTTGCTGTTTTGAGCGCACGAGTATGACTATTATACCATGGTATAGTTTTAATCTCTCTAGCCTTTTTTAATTTTATGGGTGCCACAGTATTTAGTGTGCTAGTAAAGATGGCATCCATACTGCTGGTTACTACATCAAGATCATTTGAGTTTGCGGGTGCATTACGAAATAGAGAGAGATCAGGTAAGTTATTTATAAATTCATCTTTAGTTGACGGAACAATAGTTCTACTAGGGCGGAGTATTGGAGCGGGTTTGCTGATTTCAGGTAAACATAGCTTATATAGTAAGAGGTAGTGATCTGTAATATCATCACTTTGTGGTATAATGTCTACGTCAATAACCTCGATTCCATAAGACAGAATTAGATCTAATGTATGCTTTAAGCGATGGGTTGGACCCACAACGTTTTGCTTTATCCCAAGTGAGTGTATTAAATCCATAAACGCGAGCCCTAATGTATCATTAGCGTCATCTATGTGGATGTTAAAGTCACCTACAATTAGCATTTTATCAGTTTTGACTAGTAAGTCAGAAATAAAATCAGAAAATTCTTTTAGAAATTTGACATAGGGTCCTGGGGGTCTATATATGGTGATTAAAGCGAGAGATAACATAGGTTTTTGTATAGTATCTGGAAGCTGAACATTAAGCGATAATACTTCAAAGGAGCTAAACATAAGTCCGTTTCTCTGTTTAATATTAAGGAAATCACTAAAGATTGATGCAACTCCACCACCACGACCAGTTTGACGAGCCTCATGTTTATATAAGAATCCTGGAGGAGTTGCTTCATTTAAGCTAATATAGTCATTTTGTTTCAGCCAGGTTTCAGTGAGACAGAGTGCATTAAGATTGTTTTCTGTTATTATTTCATTAATGATAAGTGCTTTAGGTGCAAGTGACCTGATGTTTAGGAGACCAAGTTTTACGAAATTTGTATTTTCACTTTCTACTGGTTTTTCTGGTTTGATTCTTACTAGATTTTTCCTGGAGCACACAGTACGTTTATTTCTTAATCTAATAATACGAGGAACAGACACAGTCTCTATAGGATTCGCCAGATATGCGTTACTGATGTTTAAGTGGGGTGAACAAGAGTCTAGGTGGCTATAGTGTGAATTTTGTGAATTTTTACCTGCTAATAAATGCACTTGCGCCTCAGAAGACAATTCTGACACAAAATAAACCTGTGGGGGCGTTTGAAGGGATGAGAAACGGAGAACAGACGCTCTTGACACGCTCCAGAAGCTCTGGAGGTCATTAATAATGTAACATTAATACTGAAACGGTTCAGGCGTTTTAGAATAAATGAGCAAAACAACATTTAAGATGTGTTACAGTGTGCTCAGCCAGATGGTTTGTCTATTCAAACACATTTTCATCATCATATGACCTCTTATAATTAACCTTTTTTAATGCTCATACTGTAATTTGTTCAGTAAAAGTTTATCCTACTCAGTTATGTGCATATTTTTATGCTTATTTTCAAAAGTTAAGTGCATCATGACGTTTCCATCAATCATTTTTATGTGCATATCCAAAATGAGCATTAAAACAGGTGAGTGGAAACGTAAGGTTAAGGCGAGAAATGCAGCTTAGTCTTTAAAAAAAAGGGGAGGAGACCGACAGAAACTCTGAGTTTAGAGAATAAAACCTGCTCCTGACCAGGTTAGATTCACAGAGTAAGTTACCACAGTAACTGACTCTGAGTTAAAGTTACCTCTCTTTCAGAAACAGGCTTGACTTACCCTGTTTTTTCGAGTTTAACAATCCTGCCATTTTGAAACGGAAAACCCAGAGTTTCTCTCATTTCAGGGTTAAAATACTCTTACTTTTCACTTAACCTCCTTTCTGAAACTGGCCCCTGAACTTTTTAGAAATCCTATAGTTAATGCCATGATGTTTTTTTGCACAAGATTCATTCATTCATTCATTCATTCATTTATTAATTCATTCATTTATTCATTCATTCATTTTCAATCAATATACACTCGTTCACACAAATACACTACGGCCAATTTAACTTAGTCAATTCACCTATACCACATGTTTTTGGACTTATGGGAGAAACCGCAGCACCCGGAGGAAATCCACAAGATTCATATTGATATATGTTAGAGTTTATTGTTCTGCTGTGATTGGTTTTAAAACTAGTTATGCAAGTAAAAAGAAATAACTAGCCATCAATGTAGCGGTGGTTTGTTTTGCTATAGCATGTGCTATTGCCAGAACTTGCTGGCAATATTGCCAGAAGGCTTGCTATTCTAAAAACGCTCAGCTGTGAGCTCTTTCCCTATTGTAAAAGCTTTTGAAAAACAGTGAGCTCTAGTGCTCCCTTTGACAGCAGCAGCACATAAAAACTTTCAGGTTTCAGCACAAAAACATTTTGGTGGACACGCTCTCTAACAGTTTATTTGCAACCCAGGCTCATTCTGAAAACGTTGTCTCGTGGACGTTTCTGGAGACTGCGAAATACATCCTGGGAGGTACGTATTTTTGCAGTTTTTGTTTTCGTGAATCCGCGAGAGGCTGCTGTGTGCGTTCTTTCGCATCTCAAATGTCTCTCGCAAAAGCCGTTCGCGCCCGCGATGTTCTCGCGTGAACCCACTAGAGACCGCTATCGACCAACTGAAAGACTAAATGATTGACTGGGCGTCTAGCCAATCGACCGACCCAATCATCTTCTTCCCTAAACCCAACCAATTTTATCGATTGACCCGCCCGCCCGCTTACTTCCCTAAACCCAACCGACGGTTTAAAAAATCTGTCCAGAAAAAGAAAAGCCCTCGTCTGGTTTTTACCATAATTTCGGATTTTACCACATTCTCACCCTGTTTTTCACTTGTTCGTTTTATTTTTGGATTCTGTTTTTGTCTTAGCTGATTCCTGGAATCGCTCTTCCCTGGACTCGGTGGTCGTCGCGGTCAACTCCTCTCTGCGTCTCAAGTCCACCGACGTACACAACAAGCTAACTAGACAAACTGGTTGTGGCAGGTAAGCCCTCCACACGGAGATAATCGGTCAGCCGAAAAGAACTGTGTCATACCGCCCCTTAGCATTTGCTTAAAAAAATTAAATGCAGCCATATGTACCTCCAATTACATAATTCGCTGTCTCTAGAAACGTCCATGGGACTATGTGATTAGAATGAGCCTGTGTTGTTTATTTGTCTTGTGTGTGTGTCCAGCTGTTAATTTAGTTCTATTTAAAAGTACTGCCTCACTGTAAATAATTTCCTGTAGAATCTACAGTAACTTACTGGCAGCAGTTTGCCAGTAACTTACTGTAAAATAGTTACAATAAAAATACTGTATTTACATTTACAAAAACATTTATCTTGCTCTATTTGTATTGTATATCTTTATAATATAGAGTAATATTCACAATGCAATTTTAAAATACAGTAAAATACACCATAACTGTCCTACAGTGAAATTCAGATCATATTACTGTTAAATACGGTACAAAAATCTTTAAAAAATTGAGATTACTGGAGTACTTCTTACAAGAGAATGCTGTCACTTTTCTTTCTTCAGAATGTTATGTTTAATTGAGCATGTTTACAGCTCTTTGCTCATTAAAATGAACTAAGAAGATTTATCAACGCTTAAATATGTTTCATTCTTTGCAACTCATTTTAACCAATCAAGCCTATTATAGAATGCTGTAAATATTATTTCATTTTTAAATGAAGGCAATGTAAAATTCCATTTAGATGTAACTGTTCATGAAAGTAGTAAACAAAATAGTTCCTACACCAATTTTGTAGCCGTTTTGATAAACGATGAGAATGAACTCTCTCTCCATACCATAAAAAGAAGCAGATTGCTTATTTCTTCTTCCCACCCAAATACATGCTCTCTGTTTTCTTCTTCTGTGCCTAAAGAGAAGACAAACCATAAGTCTAAATAATAGCTTATCTGATTTGCATTCTGGACATAAGGCCAAAGCTTTTAAGCTTTAGTGTTTTTTACCTCTGACATGGCATCCTCAATTTGCTTGAGCTCTTCATAGTGATCACGAGAGTCCCTCAAAGGCTGAACCATGATCTCCTCAATCTGTGGAAAGAGCTGGACGTATAGACACAAATGACAGATGTGTTATTAAACTTCTGCTCAAAGTTGCATGGCAGGCTGTCTGTTGAGTGTACAAACCTTCATGACCGTCTCAAACATTGGGATGAGGACGAATTTGATGAAGCCAATTTGTGCGGTTGGTTTGGTGACTTTATCTCGATCCATAAATGGAGCCACGGGAAGACCTTCTGACTTTTCTCTGTCGCTCTGCCAAAACAAACCACACATCAGAAAACAACACAAAACTACTCATAAGTATATAATGGAAAAGTTTTAGATAAATGTAAATATTTTAATTAAAATAAAAGCAAATTATACACTACTGTTTATAAAAAGGTTTGGGACAGAGCGATTTTTGTTTATGCATATATTTTTGTAGTTATTTAAATATCATAAATTATTGATGTGCTAAAACATTAAAACAATTTATAATAACTGTGTTCCATTATTACAATATATTTAAAAATACTTTTTATTTACATGGATTTTCAGCCTCAGGCTTTGGTGTCACATTGTACTTTAGAAACTATTTTAATATGTTAATTTGCTGCTTAATAAACCATTTTTGGTATTATGAATGCTGAAAATGTAGCTACTTTACAATTCTGTTCTCATGACTAAAATCACTATATACACTCACCGGCCACTTTATTAGGTACACTTGTCCAACTGCTCGTTAACACATATTTCTAATAAGCCAATCACATAGCAGCAACTCAATGCATTTTGGCATGTAAACATAGTCAAGAAGATCTACTGCAGTTCAATTTGGTTCAGAATAGGAAATAAAAGGGACTTAAGTGACTTTGAATGTGGCATGGTTGTTGGTGCCAGAAACTGAATGCTCTGAATATTTCAGAAACTGGTGATTTACTGACCTAAGAACAGGAAACTGAGGCTACAGTTTGCACAGGCTTACCAAAATTGGACAATAGAAGATTGGGAAAAATGTTGCCTGGTCTGATGAGTCTCGATTTCTGCTGTCACATTCAGATGGTAGAGTCAGAATTTGGTGTCAGCAACATGAAAGCATTTATCCATCCTACCTTGTATCAAAGGTTCAGGCTGTTGGTGGTGGTGTAATGGTGTGGGGGATTTTCTTGGCACACTTTGGGACCATTAGTACCAATTGAGCATTGTGTCAACGCCACAGCCTACCTAAGTATTGTTGCTGACCATTTCCATCCCTGATGGATATTTCCAGCAGGAACCATGTCAGCAGGAATCATCTTGTACATACGATGAGTTTACTGTACTCAAGTGGCCTCCACAGTCACCAGACCTCACTCCAAAAGAGCACATTTAGCATGTGTTGGAAAGGGAGATTCACATCATGGCACGACAAATCTGCAGCAACTGTGTGATGCTATTATATCAGTATGGACCAAAATCTCTGAGGAATGTTTCTAGTACCTTGTTGACAAATGATTCTAGTTGTGTCCTAGGGGTGCAATATCAAGCGAAATCACATGAGTTATGGGAAAATAACTAAATGGGAGGGTGACAGGAGAGGGGAGAGAAATACGGTAGACTCTTGGGAAAACAAGAGTGTTTGCAGGTATGGTTTACTCACTTAAAAAAAGAAGTATCTAAAGGTGTGTAAAAAGTGAGTAAATTTTCATTTTTGAGCAAACTTATTTAAATACATGAAGTAAGAAACATTTTCATTTGCATAGAGAGACTGCTAATGATACCTGCATAAAGTACTCCTCCAGCAGGCAGTCCACCCATGGCTCTGCCACCTCAGTGGGACGCACCTCATTGGAGATATCACAACACTTGATCAACACCATCTTCAGCTGCAGACACACAGACAAAGAATTAAGCATACAGCACAGAGCCAACAAGCATTTGCAAACAATGTGAGTCATAATAGCGGGAAACACATACAGATTTAACATGCTCCTCATTAGTACAGTCAAAGTTGTCCACTTTCTGCTTAAAAGAGTCCAGTATTTCTCCATGTTTGGCCATATCAGTTGCCAAAATAAGTGTAATGATTGCCTAGAGGAAGTACAAATAACACATCCAGGATTTTTAAACAATGGCAATGAACAACCAGAACTGGTTCCTCAAAGAAACATTTTCACAATAAAGAACATTCTGTGAAACTAAAAAGGGTTAGTTCACTCAAAAATGAAAATTCTGTTATTAATTACTCACCCTTGTGTCATTCCAATCCCCTGACACTTCAGAACACTAATTAATTAAACTATTTTAGAAGAAATCTGAGAGTTTTCTTATGGCCAGCTTCCACTGAATGATACGGTACGGTACGGTTTGGTACTCTTGTTATGGCCGTTTATCCTGTCAAACGGCTTACTGACCCAAACCGTACCGTACTACCACTCAGTGGAAATGAGCCATTATCCTAGACAGCAATGGTCCAGAGACAATCAAGGGATCAAATCTCCAGGAACACTTTAGTGCAGTTTCAAAAAAACCCTGAAAAAACAAATTGTTCATCTATGTCTTCTATATCAGATTAGGGTGTGCATTTACTACAGGCAATACGATGCTTGCATGCTGCACTGTTGACTCCAATGCAAATACATTGTATTCCTTAAAGTAAATGTGCTCCCTGACCTGACACGGGGAGAAGATAAAGGGGGACAAAGTGATATTTACAGGTTTTTTTGGTGCAGAAAACTGTTCTTAGAGCCATATATGGAGGCTGAGATAGGTCTCAGATTTAATCTAAAATATCATAACTTGTGTTCAGAAGACAGACACAGGTCTCCGATGATTGGTGAGAAATAAGGGTGAGAAATTAACAGAATTTTTATTTTCAGTAAACTAACCAACCCTTTAAATGAACTTTCTCATTTGTTTTTATCAAATAAGAATGGTAAAAACAATGTCAGTTTTAATATATATATATATATATTTATATTTATTTATTTATTTATTTATTTATTTTTTCGTCAAGAATGCTTAAAGATGTTTTAAAAGAAAAGTAAAGCCTTTTTGCCACAAGAAAAATTCATGTGAATGATTTTTGAAGAATCATGCAAAACTGAATACTGAAGTAGTAATGCTGCAAATTCTGCTTAAAAATCAAAGGAATAAATTACATTATGAAATAAAAATAAATATTTTACGCAGTAATAATATTTCCCAGTATTCATATAACTTAATGTATTTTCATTTAAATAAATGCCAAGTCGAAAAACTTTAAACAATCTTACCAGCATAAAATATTTAAAAATACGACCTTAAAAAGAAAGGTTCTTTATTGCAATTAAAGTTTTAACTAATTTTACACTTTTTTAAAATGCAAAGTTAGATGATAAAGTTTAGATTATAAAATTAAGACCAAGTGTTATTTTTAATAACTGTTCCTGTTTAAAAATAAATAAATAAATATGGATTTGTGGCAATACCCCAAACTATTTTGCACTTAGTCAAAGACACAATCTTAAGTCAAAGTTATAGATTTTTTTAATGACAAAACCTTTAGAATATTAAGTAAAGATCCTGTTTTATGAAGCAATGTTGTACTTTTGCTTCCATGAATGTATCAAAACTTGATTAGTAATATGCATTGCCAAAAAGTTTAATTTGGACATTTCAAACAGATTCCAGATGTTCAAATAGTTGTCTCTCAGCCAAATATTGTCATATCCTAACAAACCCCACTTCAATGGAAAACCTATTTAGTTAGTTTTTAGTTTTTTTATAAATGTCTATAGTGTAATATTTAATGTCTTAAATGTCTAATACTTAAAAAAGGTTCATTGAAAAAGTAACCTTTATGACTGATTTTGTGGTCCTGGGTGACAAATGTTCTTACAGTATGTACAATGTACAGTACAATGTTTCTCAGTGTAGAGACAGAATCTGTTTGGTGGGTCAGAGGTACCTGCCGTATCTGTTTGAAGGATTCAGGCTCTATATTGGCGAATATGTTGCACTCGGGCATGGAGAGGATCTGGAAGGCCACAGCGCAGTGATGATTCTCCAGTGGAGAGATGTCATTATAACGCACAGCCAGCTCAGTGCGAGCATTAATCTGATACCTGAACACACAAAACCTTAAACAGTATCTCCGGCACAAAAGACAGAGATGTCATTTATACACACATGCAACAAAGTACACTTTTTGCATATAATAATAATAATAATAATACCATAGTTTAAAATTAGGGCAAAGATTTACTGCGATTAATTTTATCCAAAATAAAAGTTTGTTTTGACATAATTTAAGTGTGTGTATTGTGTATATTTATTATGTACATAAAAATACACACATGCAGGCATATATATTTTTTTAAATATAAACTTATTTATATTTTGATGTAAAATAAATATGTACGTATAATACACAAATTAGGCAACGCAATGGCGCAGTAGGTTGTGCTGTCGCCCAACAGCAAGAAGGTCACTGGTTCGAGCCTTGACTGGGTCAGCTGATGTTTCTTTGTGGAGTTTGCATGTACTCCCTGTGTTCGCGTGGGTTTCCTTTGGGTGCTCCGATTTCCCCCAACAGTCCAAAGACATGCATTACAGGTGAATTTGATAGACTTAATTGTCTGTAGAGTATGTGTGAATGAGTGTGTATGGATGTTTTCCAGTACTGGGCTGCAGCTGGAAGGACAACCTCAGTGTAAAACATATGCTGAATAAGTTGGCGGTTTATTCCGCTGTGGCGACCCCAGATTAATAAAGGGACTAAACAAAAAAGAAAATGAATAAATGAATGAATGAATTCTACATATTATATAAAAATTTAAATATCTATGTGACAAAATGGTTTTGTTTATTTTGGTTTCTATGTATGTGTCTGCCTTCACATATTGGATGCAATTTATCTTTGCTCAACACTGTTTAAAATAAAGGTATACTTAACGGGATATTTTACCCAAAAATAAAGATTTACTTACCATTTACTCATCCTCACATGGTTCCAAAACCTTTAAAAGTTTATTTTTCTGCTGAACACAAAATAAAATATAAAGAATTCAGATGTAATAACGTCTAAATGCTGTCTGATATTGTCTTCTAAAATTAGCATTTTTTTAGGTTCCTGTGTGTAGGGTTATTCATTTTAACTTTTTGGGCAAATAATAAGTTCTTTTCATGGTCTTCAAATAACTCAACTTTTTATGGAAATTTCAGACAGCACTAAGAGGTTTTTGCAACTGAACTCTTTATATTTTAAAAGAATGCTGAAAGCCTGTAACCACTGACATTCATAGTAGGAAAAAAAGATTGAAGTCAGTGGCTACTGGTTTCCCGCATTCTTCAAAATATTTTCTTTTGTATCCAACAGAAGGAAAAAAAAACTCAAACAGGTTTGAAACAAGTGGAGGGAGAGTAAATGATTTGTAAACTACCCCCTTAAATGCACAAAAAAATGCAGTATTTTTGTACAAACAATAATTAATGTTGAAAAATTGCATTTGCATTTAACTAAATTACTTTCAATTAGCAATTTAAACACCCGGTTCATTTCTGTTATTTTCTACAATACTTCATTTTAGATATTCCCAATACTTTTTCATACATTTTAATTCTTGTGGCACAAGGGCACATTTAATACAGTTAAGCTCTATTTTGTCACAAGTCAGTGTCAAACAACAACATACAATGAAATAGCCAGTGTTAAGTGCTATTTTTCTCTTAGAGAATGAATAATAATTCAGTAACATACGTGTTGTTGTACCCCGGATGGTCGAGGTCATGACACACTGCTGCAGTCATCAAAATACACATGTCTGTCATAGTCAGCCTGTCCTACAGCACAAAAAGGCGACTGTTGATCTGTTCATTATGATTTTAATACTATATATATCAAGCCTACCCCTAAACCTAACCCTCAAAGGAAACACTACATTTTTACATTTTCATAATTGTTACGTGTTTATGATGTTAAACAATAATGCTTAATTCTGTGTGATTTATGAGCCATTTTCCTCAAGGGGAACAAAAATGTCCACACAAGGTTAAAGTTTACTGGTATTGCTATACATGTGGGGACATTTAGACACTTCAACATGAGGAATACAAGGCACACACACAAACACACACACACACACAAACACACACACACACATACACATACACACACACAGATCCACTTACCTGAAGGCCGCACAGGTGGATCATGCCATACATCATCTGACTGACGCAGAAGCAGTGCCGGAAGTTGTGGAAAGGATTGTCACGATAATTTTCTTGAATAGCCAGCTTTTTATTTTGACAGATACACAGCAGTTACATACACAGTTGTAAGGTCTAATAAAAATTGAGTTGATTCAAAAAGTCTAAAATGCAGGTGAGAAAATAAAGTTTGCCCTACCAGCCATCTTTTGAGAGTTATTGGGTTCATGTTAAACTCCTTCACCAGTCCAAGGTCATGATACATGTATTCCAGACAGCTGAGCATCTAACAACAACATCCAATCAATTTACTTAAAGACACAACAAAAGATATAGATAAAACATTAATTTATGTGGCAGAAACTGACATACATAAAATACATAGAGTTGAGGTCAGAATTATTAGCCCCCCTTTGAATTTATTTTGTTTTTGAAATATTTTATAAATGATGTTTAACAGTGCACAGAATTTTTCACAGTATGTCTGATAATACGTTTTTCTTCTGGAGAAAGACTTATTTATTTTATTTCAGCTAGAATGAAAGCAGTTTTTAATTGTTTTAAAAACATTTTAAGGTCAAAATTATTAGCCCTTTTAAGCTTTTTTTTCAGTAGTCAACAGAACAAACCATCAGTGTACAATAACTTGCCTAACTACCCTAACCTGTTAACCTAATTAACCTAGTTAAGTCTTTAATTGTCACTTTAAGCTGTATAGAAGTGTCTTGAAAAATATCTAGTCAAATTTATTTACTGTCATCCAACAATGATTATTTCCAGCTAGTCCCATCCTATAGAGTCTGGATGGTCTATAGTAGTATCTATGTATTTTTATTATTATTTTTTTTTTTTTACTGAATGAACTTCCCTCTAACTTCTCTTATATTTTTACCTACATTGGAAAGGATGTCCAGCCACTCATTCTTCTCAATATCAATCCCTAGATCCTTTTGCCAGATTATTCTCAAATTATTACATACTACTGAGTTTACATTTAGCATCATTTTGTAACACATAGAAGCAGTCCTAGCATCCTGTGGTGACTGTAAATAAGCATATACAGGGTTGTCCTTCATGTTAAGTTTGTCCTTGATGCAGTGTCTAATTTGCAGGTATTTCCAGAAGTCCCCTTGGGCTCAAGTATTATATTTGTCCACTAAATCAAAGTATGACAAGAATATACCCTCCTCATGTAAATCCTTCACTTTAGCACTTTAGCAATTCCTTTTAGTTGCCATTGTTTCCAAAATACTGTTTTTTTTTTGTTTTTTTTTGCCTATACAAACTTCTGGGTTATTCCACAATGATGCATATGACTGTTTATAATGTGATGTCCTACCTACACAGTTTATGGATTCTACTCCATACAAATCTTGAGTGTATGGTCACTGGGTTTGATTCCCATTTAGTTCCAGAACATTGTGAGAGAATGCCAATTGGGTGAAATGGCGATGCTAACTTTTCCTCCATTTATCCAATCCAGCTCTGAATCTGTCTCTCCCCAGTGCTTGGCCAGCTTGGTCATTTCAAAAGAAAGGTTGTACGTCCTTACATCAGGCAATCCAAGGCCTCCCCTATCTCTTGGGGAGCAAAGTTTACTCATTTTGAACCTGGGTTTTTTACCTTCCCAGAGAAAGTCCTATCATTCTTTAAACTTTAGTTGATGTGTAATGTAGCATGTGTGAACATAAACAACATCGAAACAAGACACTCAAAGTTCAATGTAAAGGGAGACATTGGCTTTTACGGTTAGCTTAGCAAAGCAGCGAACAATGTTTGGGGACTACAAACAAATACATCCAGGTAAATTATGTCATAAATCCTTCAAGCTATGAGCATACACCCTGTGCAGCGAAGGGGCCTGATGTGCTGTTACAGTAGAGAGGCTTCCTGGTGACATGGAGCCAATCCACAAATTACATCACATTATATTAGCTGACCAATCAAAGCCTCTTGAGAGCGGCTTTTGGACGAACTAGGAAATACAACAGACGTTTTCATATTAACTGAGTAGCTGTATATAATTAAAGTAAGATATATGTGATATATATAATAACGTGATTTTTTACAAATGAAGCATGAGAACACATTGCTTTGCACCCTAAAAACACACACAAGCCATAAGAATACATTCTGGACCGTCCCTTTAATTAAAGTACACTTTTAATAAGTAGTCACCTTGGAATTCTAAGGTTCTATCTGTGTTCTGAATGATTTTGAGATATTGAGCTTCAAAGTTTTTGCATTCCATAGCAAGCAGTCTGTGTGTAACATTGGGTTTTAAATAAAAAGTCTTAAAATGGAGACAACATATAAAAACATCCCATAATGTAAACAGGTTGTCATTTAATGAGAATAAGTTAATAACTCAATTTTGACTGAAATGTCCGATAGAACCTTATGATTCTGACAAAGTGTACTTTGCAATAATCCTAAACGTAAACATTTTAAATAATTATATTTTAAAGGGGACCTATAAAGTCTCTTTTAACAAGATGTAAAATAAGTCTCTGATCTCCCTAGAACACTGTGTGTACTACGTGTAAGCACCTCAAAATTGCTCGCAAAT